TTATGTTGAAGGATAAGATTATCTTTGATATTTTACCTATTCACAGTGTTCTTTTTTCTCCCTTTATTTCATTTCCCTCTCTCTTTTAGTTTTTCCCTTATTTTTATCATTATTAGCAACTACTAAAAAAAACTGCTATTTTATTGTCAATAATTTTTTAATCACAAGCTCCAAGTTTTATACATGTTTGAATAATTTATTGCCCAATTAAATATGCTTTCAAATGCAGAAGACAAGAATACAGTTATGCTGTAACATTTAGTTTTTTAGTTGTCTCCAACATTCTTTCAAGTATCAAAGGTTATTTTGTTTTTCTTTTTTCACTATCAATAGTTAATAAAAGTTTTGATGTTAAGTTTGCTGTATGTTGTAGTTAGTTTGTTACGTGGATGACAAAGCATATATAACTTAAAAATGAAAATACATAAATCTAAAAATATAAGTTAGAGGCTCTGTTTTTAAACTGGGATTGGACCAGCCGGTCGAACTGGGAACCGGCCAATGGTCCGGTCCGGGTTAACTTTAAAAACCGGAAAATTCAAAATTCGGTCAAACCAGGTCAAAACCCGGGTTTGACCGGAAAAAGACCCGATTTTTTTACTTTTTTTTTAAAGGTCAAAATATTTTTAATATTATGTTTTGACCCCTAGGTTGTTAAAATTTATTAATATATCTCAAATATTTCATACTTTATAAATGTTGTCTTAAAGTTTGGTGTTATTTTTCAATTAATTCCATAATTTTAATTCTAAACTTGTTAATGCTCATTAAATAACATAAATTGCTATTTGATTGTTCTAATTTCTTTGTATTTTCTTGTTAAATATATTTAAAACATTAAATACATATGAATATACCTTTATTAATATTAACATGTTATTAGATATTTTACATAAAATATTTTAATTTTTAAATAATTTTTATTTATGACGTCATCCGGTTCAACTCCGATCGAATTCGGTTGAATCCATTGACCCCTGACCCTTGACCTCGACCGAGTTGATACCCGGTCCGGTTTTGAAAACATAGGTTAGAGGCTCAAAGGCTCAAATTAGGCAATTATCAATACTTATGTAATAGTTTTGAAGTGAATAGAGCGGATGACATATATATATATATATGTATGTATGTATATATAAAGAAAAATAAGTGACAGAAAAAACAAAACGTAATTGAAATAACAGTAGTGTAAGCTGCCTTAAAATTCTTTAGAAGGCAAACTGCAAATAAGGGCAACATTTGAAATTAAGGCATTATATAACGGTCAAACCTTATTTTCACTGCCGAGGAGCTGTAAAGAAGTGCTTGGGAAATAGTACTAGGTGGCAAACTGCAAATCACCCCATTAAAGAAGTCTAATCATCCTATCATAGATGTTGAATGCTATTAAGCATATGATGTATGTGAAATTAAAAAATAGTAAGAAAATAAGAAGTAATGAGAAAACATATTTTAAGAATGTCCAAAAAAAATTTCCAAATAATTTCATCCTTTTTTTCTGGTTCTTTATACTTCATCCAAAGTTACTTATACATTTCTTCAAATTTCTGTGCGCAATTTAATCATAACCAATTGAATCTCAAAATGCCCCATATCACGCCATCAAGTGCCTCTAAATTCTAACTGCAGCAATCACTTCTCAATGGTGCATGAGAACTCAAATGGGTAAGAAATTGGCCTCTGGACTTCACACAACATGGGCCAATTCTCCAAGCCAAGTTTTATTAAGGGAAAATCGCATAAATGGTCCATCACATATTATAATTGTACTTTTTTTATCTATTACTTTCAAAATGAAGTAAATTCATCCTTCACATATTCAAAATGTACATTTTGTTCCTTACACTCATTCCAAGCGCTTTTTGGCTAGGAAATGTCATGTGCCACCACGTAATGATAATTTCAAGGGCAAAACAATATTATATCCTATTGTCAACTAAAAATTAAATTTCTGAATTTTCCATGTCAGAATGACGGCAAATCTGAAGTCCAAACACATGTCCTGAGATATGTGCTCTTTTTTTGTTCTCTATGTTCTTCTTTTACTTTTTTATATATTTTGCATTTATTTTGATATTTCATCAACTTTGTTTTCACTACAACTTTTATCCTCACTTTTCCATTTGTTAAATATTATTTTGGGGTTAACTTTCTTCTTTGGAATTTTTTATTTTCCTATTTTAAAAGTCCTCAAGAATTTTCAAAATAACAGTTAAACTTTTTCTTAATTATTAGTTTTACTAGATGTGGTGTATTTTGGTGAGAATAGGGTGTGATGTCTATTTTACTTATTTTACCCGTAAAATCATTATCGAATGGTAGCACATGACCTTTTTCTAACTAAAAAGTCATCAAAATGGATATAGGAACTAAAATGACATATTTTGTTTATCTGAAGGATGGATTTTCATCATTTTAAAAGTGACGGGCTAAAAAGATGTAAATGCAATATGTGAGGGACTATTTGCATCATATTCCTTTTATTATGGTCAGCCATTAAGGATGGATTTACAGAGGGTGGGCAGGGGCAACCAACGCCTCCCCTCCCTATAATTTTGTAAAATCTATATAGGCCCTTTAAAGTTTTCTAAAACTTATAAATAAAGCCTTAATTTTTAAATCAAAATTTGTCCCTTTGCCTCCCCCAATGTGTTGTCAATATTTAAATCAACTAAGTAATCTTCTTTGATTTTTCTTTGAAAATGATTTATATTTGAAAGAAATAAAATTATATCCTATATTTCTTAACAAAACTGATCCAAACGAGTTTTCTTGACAACCATGTTTGGGCCCCTATTCCCAACCCATAGACAAGGCACGGACTGCCTCTTAATGCATGGTATGGATTGCAACTTACATGTACTAGTGCGTTCCACCTATTGCTCTGTTCGTTCAAACAATTCCACATCGGCTTATAATTAAACAACTTGATCAATTTTTCAGAAAATATATTGTATGGTAGTAGTGATACGATAATGCAGTAGGAGAGCTGGCAATATATGAAGTGTGGGGGGATTTTGGGGAATGGGAGAAACTCTTGAAAATTAAATATAAATATTTTGCAACTCTTCAAAAAATAAATATTGAATTTTTCTATAAGAAAAAGTGAAGGAAATTAACCAATATATAGTATTAGATTAAGATTTTAATAGAACAAGAGAAGGCCTTCATATAACTATTCTAAAATTTTATAGGGGTTAAAAGAAGTTTCCAAAATTTAGAAGGGGCTCTTCCGGTAAATGGTAAGATTTGAAAACGTAAGTACGAATGACAGAGGCGGAGGAAGTTAGCTATGTTCCAATCTATCTACAATGAATACTAAATTAGTTCTTTGTACAAATGTATTGAACAAATAATGTAAAGAATAATTAGTTGAAACTTGAAAGGTGAATTTAGCCCCTTACTCTTCAACTCGCCATTGAGATATTATGATGAGAGGCGCTTTGAAATTGAGCAACATTAGTAACGGGACAAATTTCATATGTTCATGTACGTGAGAATAGTTGGTAAATCTGGAATGTGTCCAAGCAATTATATTGTAACTAGCTAAGAAGCAATGCCTAGGAACCTTACACAAACATATATATGTATAGGGAAAAGACAGAGGAGGATATAAGACAATTGCAGTAAAAGCCAAAAAGGAGAATATAAAAGAATAGGAAAACGGCAAAAAAAATAAGATACACAAATAATATACTAAAATCTCTTGAACTGACATAAATAACCTTACAATTAACAAAATTTGTAAACCTATTACAGACCAACGGAGTTGAACTAGTATACCACTTTTGTGACTTAAGTACTTATTTGAATAATATAATTGTTGAGTCGACAAAAGGTCATAATCAAAAGGGTTTATCTGCACTTATACTAACTAATAAAAACTCCCCAAAATATCGTATTTCTAACTTTTTAGTGGAAAGATTACACAGTGTCTTTCTATTTAACACAACTTCTTTATTTAACCTTTGCTCTTACAAATAATTTCTTTTCACAATGAATAAAAAGATTTATGACTCAAAGAAAACAAAAATTTGCATTCCTACAGAACTTGTTGGTTATAATTAGAATATAAGTTGAAAATGAAATTTAGGGTGCATCCAGTTTTAAGTTTCTAGTCCGATAATGGTTGGGAAGGACACTTATGATAAGGAAGAAAGGAGAAGAAAAGGCAAAAGTGTAAGACAAACAAAAAGTCAAGGAAAAAGAAAAAAGAAATATATTGATTAATCTAATTGGCTGTGCCTTTCATATTTTATAAGTTTGATACATCTTGATTTTTTGGTTTTCCCCAACATGTCTTTCTTTTTATTTTGACAGTGCAATGCATTTTTAAACGTTCAAAGGCAAATGCCACAAATCTAATATTTAGAATTAAAATTAAAGATATGGATGGTGAGAACATACTTAACCTTGAAGGGAAGTGGGCTGAGAGAGGTGGTGTTATTACATGACATACAGTCAATAAGCCATACAGATTAGGCTAGTATCCCTCTCCTACGTAACGGGTATTTTACCTAAAAAAGGGCAAAATATATATATATAAAAAAGACTCCATATAATTAAGCTAACCTGTGAAAAGCATTTTATGGTTTCAAATCATACATTCTGGTTTCTCAAGATTTGAACTAATTTGAAACAACAATAAAAATCATCAAAACTAATTGAGGCAGATGAAATGATAGAATTATCTTAATATAGGGGGGGAGGCCCGCGCAATGCGCGGGAGTGGGGTGCCTGTGGGTCGCGCAATGCGCACTCCATAATGCGCGTGGTGAGATCTATCTAACCTTCGTAAATAATAGTGAAGAGAGAAAAGATGGAAGTTGTAACTGAGAAGCCGTACGAAAATAATAGAGAACCACATCATAGTATTATAAAAAACCATAGCTTAGATCAGGATGTTTGAGTTCATGACCATACGGACAGGGATATAGGCCCAATGATAGTTTCAGATTTAGATTAAATGCTCAGTGGCTCCTTTTCTAAGAAGGTATAATAGACCACCTTGCACTTAACCTAATTTGAAACAGTCTTATTTTAGATACTTCTATTTACATAGAACAGATAAAGGAAAAGTTCAGCCAAGTTTGTCCGTTAAAGTAGTAGTACTTAGGAATAATGAAGATCCATTCGCAAAGGATATAACTTCAAGGATGGGCTTTGGCAGTTTAGGTGCGGTGTTTCTTAGTGGGGTTGACTCTGAGTTTCATTGGGGCTGCTGCAACTGCTGCCTTTTTCTTCTTATCTTCTGTGTTAGAAGGACTGAGTTGATCCACTCCTTTGCTTTGTGTTTCTCCTTCCATTATGCTATCAACTTTTTCTATTGCCATATTTTCAGCCATGTCGGTAACATTCTTTTTGGAATGTTCTTCTTGTGCTGCTGCCCAAGTGGATGCTGTAGCTTTGTAGTTGGTGATATATTTGCTGATGACATAGTTTTCTTCTGCAGTAGCATTGTTGATATGGGCAACTATGGCATTGTACTTTTCTGAGCTCCTGGAACTGTGGATTGTATTTGATTTCTTGACCAAGCAAACTAAGTTTTTCTGCTTGATGAAATCTGCTATAGTGGCGTACTGGACATTTCCCTGTAGGAAGAATAGAGACTTTAAGTATTTATTTGAAGTGAGCAGAATGTTGCAAAGTAGTTTTGAGTTCGAATGTACCTGCTGCTCTTGCTTTTGGATGTCACTTATGCAGAATGGGAGGAGTTGTTCAGCATCATCACCACTCAGGTCAAGAGTTATAGCACCACTCATATCACTAATTTGCACTGTTAGTCTGCAGCTGTTTTTGGGTTCATGTTATTAGAAGCTTTTTTGGCAGCAGGGGTTGTTAATATTAGATTAAGGTATATGTTTACCGTGGAGTGAGACGGATGCGCTGGTAGCATGAAGTGCAGGTGATCTCGCAATCTGGCCTTGCTCTGATGTATTTGTAGCAGTGGGGGCATGAATGGTACCATAGCTTTTGACTTCTATCTAGAAGTTTTGGTATGCCTCTAATCCAATAGGGCCTTGCCTGCAATGAATGAGCATTGTATTATTACAAAGGCTCGGACAAGTATACCAAGTTTGCTAATAGTAATAGAAGTCAAAGTAGATAATCAATTTTGTAGCACTGTTAACCTATTGTGTTAAGCCATTTGTTAACATCTAGTACGCCAGGCAAGAATTGTATTAGGCCCAGAAGACCCTCTTATAAAAGATAATGCAAAGCATATGATTCTTGAATTTCACATGGGCGAGAGTTTCATAATAAAACTATAGAATCCATCAAGCAATTAAAAAGAATTAAAAAGCTTTACGCTACAGTGAGGTTCACAAGAGAGAAAGTACAATTTGACAAGTAAGATAATGAGTAGGGGAAAAAATGGTAATTACGCAGTAGCATTAAAACACGAAATTCCACCTACAAAGTCACAGAGATGCAAAAATACGAAGAAATGGGACAAACAAGTAAATAAAAAATTACTGGGTAAAATGGGAAAACAGGAGCTACTAATTTCATTAACGAGGACAAAATTACTGGATGAAAGCCCGTATATCCGGAAAAACCAAATGAAAGGGAGCATTAATTAGTTCTACAAAAACGTACAGATACAATGAAAACTAAACTGAAGACATTTTTGCCCAAAACATTCAAATCTCATTACCAATCAATCAGGAGAGTAGGGAATGGTAGTTCAAGCTTGTAGTCAGTATAATCCAATTCGATAACCCACAAGCCAATTTTGTAATGGAAGAGACTACAGACTTTTTGGCTGTTGGCATGCATGCAGAAATAAAGGATTGTGAGTGAGTTGTATATGTACCTCAACCACAGCTGTGAGATCGCTGATAGTTATAACTCTGTCATCATCTGGTACAGGTAGGAGTTTGAGACGATCACCATAAGTCCGCTCAGCAATGAAACGCGTGATTTCCTCTTGATTGTGACTGCACCTAATATTTTATTTGTTGTAATGTAAAGGATAGTAAGCCTTTTTGGTAATGAATGTTGAATAATTTATAATGTAACTATTTTAAAGTAAAGTTACCAGTTACGCAGGTCATTGGCTTGCTGAATTGGAGGATTGATTAGTATGCTGCTGGAGAATTTGGTGGATAGATGCATGGCTACAAAGTTGACAATAGCAACATAAGTTTTTCCTTTTCTGGTTTCAGTCAACTTAGGATTTTTGTAAATGGTTTTTAAAAGAGTACGTACCATGGTAAGATGTCACTCGGACTCGAAGCGCTGCAACCACAGGTTGGGTGTGGATCATATCAGCTATGTCTTGTCCCTCTTCTGATTCATGCTCTCCCCAAAGGGTCAGTACCATTGGGTGCGACATATGATCTGTAAGAATGATATCCCTAGTTGGTGTTCCACCTCTGATTGCTTTCGGGTGCACGTGAATTGCTATTCCAATAAGATCTAATAACCAGAGTTTGATATTAAAAAGTGTAACTATGACTATGTAAATTATATGTTAAGGTAAATCAGGAATGGTACCTATTTCATCAGTTGTGTCAATGTGCTGATAAACTGAATCGTAGTCAGCAAAGTTAAACACATTAGGTATCAGAGGGGGGTCCACTTCATCGATTTCTTGGACAAGCGTGGAGTTGTCAATGGTCCATGAGCACTCATTTGGGTACGTACTGTACCTTGGCAACACATTTTGAATCCTAGCATTCGATACATAATATCTTCGATATGGTTCAAAGTACTTCCTGAAGAACATTATATCTCCAGCATAAATTAGAGCTTGAGCAGTTTGACCCTGTAATTTTGAATACAGTAAGTGCTATGGTAATTAATTAGTTGTGTATAGTGCCAAAGTATGCAATGATAAGCTATATTACCTGACTATCAACAAACACCAACTTTTGGTAGCGTTTTCCATTTCTTGAAACCTGAACCTTTTGCTTTTCAATCACTTGAACAATGGCAGTCCAGTTGTCCATGAGAGGTTGGAGTTCTGTGAAGTTTACCAGGTTGCTTTCCATTTTTTGACGTTTGAAGAGTGCTGCAGACAACTACCACAAAATCGAAGGATTCCAAAGACAAGAGTTACACTCCGAAGTAGTAAGTTCATAGAATTTAAATATAATGTATTACTAAGACATTTACTGGTACTTTATTTGCTATTTACATATAACAGAGTACTGGAATTATTGACAAGATAGCTGCAATACATCCTTGTAAACTATATTAGGAGTCACATAATCTAAACTTGAATCATATACAGGAGGTGTGATCAAAATTTTAACAGATTTGCTATTTTTAGCTCTAGATAATGCAACATACAGCTGCCCATGTGAAAAAACAGGTTCTCGCAAATAAATGCCAACATAATCTAAAGTTTGCCCTTGAGCTTTATTAATGGTCATTGCAAAACAAAGTCTTATAGGAAATTGCATTCGTTCAAAAGATATAGGAGAATTAGGGTCATTTTCAACACGAAAGCAAATTCTATGTAGAAATACTTGCTTCCCAGCAAATTCACCAGAACTTATGACTGCATCTATAATATTGTGTTTAAGTGATTTGCATAGAAGTCTTGTTCCATTACATAGACCTTCTGGTGGGTCAATGTTTCTCAACAACATTATTGGTGCATTTTCTTTCAATGTCAATCGATGTGGAGGAAAACCATTTGGAGTGTGGCTATTCATGAAGTCCTCTAAAATTGCTTGCTGCGAATTATCTAAACATTTATCTCTGCTTAAATAGTCAAATGGGGTTCCGGGAAATTCCTGTATCAATTTTTCATTGATCTGATCTACAAAATCATTTTTTGTAGTTAAAATTGCTCTATTAATTAATGAGTATGTATTTTCAGAAAATATGTTGAAGTTTGGATAGACAGTTGTAATCAATTGATTTATGGATTCTGCTTCATTTGTATAGCGAAGAAGCAATGCTTGAGAGATGTGAATACTTTCATTTTTAACTGTGTTTTCTGTTCCATTACCTATACGAAGAAGGTACTTGCTAAAATCAGGATCTAATCTTGCTCTCATGTTTTCCTTCAATTTTAATTTCTGCAGATGAGGCCAAATATAAGATTTTACAAGGCTAGCTTCGATAAAGTCTGATTTTGACCCTTTTACAACTACCGGCAGAACTTGCCTAAAATCACCACCAAATACCATCACTTTTGACCCAAATAATTCAGAGTTATCCATTAGGTCTCTAAGTAAACGATCTACTCCCTCAATTCCTGCTCTATGTGTCATAGGCGCTTCATCCCAAATGATCAATTTGGCTTGCTGTAATAACTTTGCCAATGAGCTTTGTTTGCTTACTTTGCACATGTTGTTAGGATTCATGTCTAAAGGAATTTTAAATCGTGAGTGGGCTGTTCTACCTCCAGGTAAGATAGAAGCAGCTACTCCACAAGAGGCCGTTGCCAAAGCTATACATCCCTTTGATCTAACTGCAGCTAGTAGTGCACGGTACAAGAATGTTTTCCCTGTTCCCCCAGGCCCATCAATAAAGAAACTTCCTTTGCTGTGTATAAAAACAGCATCTATGATAGTATCAAATGCTACTTTTTGATCCTCATTTAATTTAGAGATAGCAGCAATATCTTCTTCATTGACTTTAAAGTTTAGCTCAGAATTTGTGTCTCTTGTACCTCTATCCATTTCATCAAACTTTAAGATTCGTGGTACTAATCCATACATATTAATGTTTTTTCCCATTGATTCTAAGAACTTGCTAATCTCATAGAGAACTTTATGTTGGACCTGATCGTTTGACAAATTCAAAGTTCTATTGAAATCTTCTGACATAGATTCTTTGAATTTTAACCATAAACTTCTTGGATCAGCAGGAGTGAAGTAAACTAATAGGGTAGCAAATAGTCTTCTAAAGCTATATGGCATGTGGTATAAAGCTGCTTCTTCTAGGCACTGCTCTTGAGGGTTATTGGATTCAAATAATCCTCTCATTATTGCTGCTTCTCTAAAGGTATTAACATAAACACCATCGACAGTTTTCAGGTCATCAAATGATGTTGGCCCTTTTACATTCAATAACAATAATCTTAAGAAGTACCTCTCACCCTCACTTGGATTTGCTGTAACAATTCGGCCTATTGAACCTCTTTGTTGCCTAATATCCCATATGCGTTTACCAGGTTTCCACACAAAATGTTCAGGAAATTCTTTGTATGTGCATTTCAATGTTTTGGCTCTCTCATCAGTAGCATTCATATGGAAAAATTCAGTTAGCATACTTTTCTTAGCAAATTTACTTTTCAAAAGATCTCTAAGATCAGCATCATCTTTGAAGGTCAGAGATTGGTAATTTTCAAGATGTAGCTGAAGGTTAATGACAGCAGGATGTGTTTCAAATAAGGGAAATCTGTAAATTCGCCAAATGGCTTCAATAGGAGAAACCCATCTTGCTGATTGGTACTCCTTAATTTCATCTATCTCTTTAGATCTGTCATCTGAATTCACAGCAAAGTGTATTTTATCATGTCCCTTATATATGTACTTATAAGTATACTTGACTACCTTTATTGTTGAGCAAATTTCAACATTCATATGGCAATTGAATTTTGCTAACAAGTAAGGATTATATGGAACTACCCATCTATTATCCAATTCATGGCCTCGAACTTTTACCTTTTCTCTATTGCTCCTCCGCCTATATGTTGGATAAGAATTTTCAGATTGTGTAGTTTTTTCTGCCCACTGTTTAGGATAATGATTTTTGCATTTTTTAACTGTTGTACCTTGCATACACACATTATCTGCATTTTTTTCGCCACAAGGACCATGCATCATGTGCTTGCGAACCATTTTAAACAAGTGTGGATGCTCTTTTTTGTCTGGAATCTCAGCAGAAACTATGTGATCATAGGATTCCGTTGAATATAATTTAGACGCTGGGTGTAAAATTATTAAGAAATGTGCATGCGGCAACCCACGTTTTTGGAATTCAACAACATAGGTGTAAGCAGCTACTTTACCCAATACCTCTTTTTTAAACAACTCTTCTTTTAAAATTTCTAATTTGGCATGAAAAACTCTAGCAGAAAGATCAACACGGTTTTGAGACTCATCAGTGGGCAGTAAGTTTTCTTTTATTTCTGGCCATGATGGGTTACAAGTCATTGTTAAAAAAATGTCAGGTTTTCCGAATTTTTGAACTAAGGCCATAGCATCAACATACCTTCTTTTCATATCACGAGGACCTCCTATAAAAGATGCTGGCAAAATTACTCGTTGCCCTACTTTTGAACCTCTACATTGGCCCTCAACTACAGAATCCATGACACCCTGTAATTGCTCAGTCCTAATTTGTTGTTGCCTATGCCGGAAAAAATCAAGCCTTTGACTCTCAATTTTTACGTACATGTCCACTACATACTGTTGAAATGCACGGGCAGTATTAAGAATACTTGGTTTATTTTTCTCCCTCATCTGGAACCTATATGCATAGTATTCACGCATGGACACATTCTCCTTTGAATTCTCAAAGTTTTTGAAAGCTGTTTCAAAAAATTTTAAGCTTCAATTTACATTTGGTAAACTAAAATTGTATTCATAAAATTTGTATTATATTTAAAAACAACTAACCTTTCTCTTCTGATTCTATTATATCTTCGGCAGATCTGAAGCTTGTTAAAGTTGCAGTCTGTTGATGATTTCTAACTGACCTTTTCCTTTTTTTTGGATTACCAGTGCCAGATCTCTGAATTCCAGGTTGCCACCCTGTTTCGCCAAAGGGAAATAGAAGTGGATACTGCAATGGATCATAACAGCCATAGTAATATTGAATTCTACGGCTTTGACCCTCTTTTGTGTATACTTGAATGTGTCTAGCATAGCTGTCCTGTGAGTTTTCACCTTCAACCCACAGTGCAGCTACTTGGGATACTGTTGGCTTGTTAAAGACTCGCTGATCAGTTTGACAGTAAGATTTCAGGACTATTTGATAATTGTTCAAGTCTGGAACATGTCTCAGGCTTCGGAAAAAGCAGGCATAAGGGTTACTTTTCATGAGTTCCATGAGTTTCACCACTATGCTCTCAGTTAGTTTTGTTGAAAAAGCCAATCGATTTGCGATTTCATGTTCAGTATCATGAAAGTATAACTGCAAAAACATTCCCGATCCTCCATGGGGAATCAATTGATTTATAAAATGATACGTTTGGCCCTGAATTTTGAAAGTATATATTCCGTTTCTTCTTTGGCAAAGCGATTTATCATAGTTAACTCCAAAAGAGGTGAAAGCGAACATACTATTGTATGTTCTTACATAGGTTCTGAAACAAATTGCTTCTTCAGTTTCACCAGTAAATAGCTCTATTAATATGTCTGGCATTTTATTCTCTTCTAAGACTACTTCTCCATCAGAGCAACAAAAGTTTGCAGACTCAGAATAAAATTTTTTGGCTCCGCAGTACTTGCAATTCTGTTGCTCTGGTAATCTATCAGCTTCCAAGCTTATCGAAGATAATGCCTCAATTCCCGTCACCACCCTTTTATGTTGTTTGCGTACATTGTTTTGTTTCCTAATCGAAGCATTTTGGTCTTCCCCACAGCTTTTAACTACATGAATGGATCAAAAATGTCATTAATATGATTTTTAATATGTTGAAGTTTTACAACTTGTTTTATTATGTAGAAGGAATAAACCTGAATTCTGTTTACACCTTCGTCTTGACATATGTTTAGCTTCTCTTGAACGTTTAGGTTCAACTGAATATCCTATTTATGCAATGGTGATCAGTTTTTGTCAATGGGATCGCCACTGTTATATGATCAACAATGGTGATCAGTTTGTTAGCTAACCTGTTAGATCCTCCATTGCTTCAGAAAGCAAGCTATAGCAAGAGTTGCAGATGGGTGGTTGGTCTACAATATTGGCAAATAAGGTGATCACTTTTAGCTAGTAGCTAGGGAGAAATCTCGGTTGGTAATGTTTGTTTCAAGAGGAAAGAATAATTAAACTTAGCAGTAGGAAACAATAACTAAACCTGAAGATTGGGTCGCTTTAGAATGCTGACACTTTTTTATCCGTCGAGCTGTAGAAGTAGAACCTATACATTTTCCACAGGATGTTAACTAACATATTTTGTAGGTCTCTTTTAATATATCTTTGGATATTTGTGAATTAAAAATGTTTTTAATTCTATGTGGTTCACCTTTGTGATATGTTGAAAATTCTGAAACATGCTCCTTCTGCCTTCGATTACCTTCAACTTTGTCTCCAGGAACTAAATAGATTGTGAAAATGTTATGCCTATATGACATCACAATAGCCTAAAGGAAAAGGGATTACAAAAATAACCTGCCTCACTGTGGTGCTTATGACCACAGTTAGGTTCCTGAATGCGAAAAGCCTGCTGTAACAGTTGCTTATTACTGGTGTGCTCATCATCTGAGCATAGAGATACAGGCAAAGGTAGTTTAGTTTACAGCCATACTTGTTGGGAGTTATTATAGAGGTAGGTGGGCATCTAAATATTCACTATAATGTAGTATATACAGCGCGATACCTTTTCCTCTCAATACTAACGAGGAGGTAAAAGTAGTCTTTGTCTTTTCTTTTTTACTTTTATAGGTATCACGGCGTTTTTTCCGTTGGATTTCTTTCTGCTCCTCAGTTAAAGAGGCATATCTTTGTCTAGCCTTTTCGTTACGTCGAGCTTTTCGGTCGAACATTTTAGAAGGATCAATGTTTCGATTCATAGTGGGTTGCTATGGAAATGTTGGGTCAACTAACAAAAGTGGTTGGAACTTGAGGTTTACACAAACTTGAACAATTCGAATGAATCCTAAGACACAAGAATGAATCCTAAGACACAAGCTTATTTGTAGTATACTTCAGCACAGATTCAGCCTACAAATATTAACCACTTTTTGCTACCGAATGAACTGCAGCTCTTTTAAAATAAGGAACAACTACAATACTAATTGCTTATGCTTTCATGTATATACACATGTCATGAAATCTACGAGCGATGAAAGAGCAAAAGATTTTTTAACTGTACTACATAATACTCAAATCCAATGTAAACAAAAGAAGATTGCCAAACAAGCATAAATTGTAAACTAACGGAGATTTCCAAGCAGGCATGAATTCAATGATAAACACAGTCCACAAAATCATTTTTAAAAAAAACAAAACAGCTATTCCAGCAAGTTTGGAGAAAGGTCGAAAATGAACTAACCTTTTTTAAAAAGAAACCGATAAAACTTGATCTTGATGAGAAGAGTTTGAGCCTGCATGACAAAAAAAATAATTAACTTGGTATGAAAGGCCGGAATTAATAAACGGACGAAGGATGCAGATGAGAACAAACACATCAAGTCTAAGAAAGCATGGTAATTCTTTTTTTGAAAGCAAAAGCCAAAATCAAATGGGTAAAATTACTTGTATACGAATCTCACCTCAATTCCAAGGAAATTCCATATCGGCGACCAAACATATCACAGAGAAACAGCTATATGTAGCAACAGATTTAACACCAACCAATCATAGAAGGAAAGGAGAGAAACGGAAGAAGATGGAAGGCTATGCGTCTAGCAAATGCGGAAGGAGGAGGAAAGCCATAGGTGGAAAACGTGGGGGAGCTAATACTTCATCTGGTGGCTGTTTAATAATTAGAGCCATTAAGAGGAATAAAGTGGAAGAAGAAGCAAATAAGCGGAAATCAAACCTAATCAGCCAAGGAATTAAAGAAGCCCAACATAATAAGAGGAACAGAAACTGACATGGGTGGCAAACATGGAGAAATTAAGAGACCGTTTAACAGAGGGAGGTGAAACTGGTGGAAGTTGAATTAAAAACCTCTCATAATAGTCACCAATAATCAAAGGGGCTTCGGTGAAATTTGCAAAGGGGCAAATGAGAAAACGGTTTTGGGTGGCAGAGGAAGAGAAACAGGGGTCTGACCATTTAATGTTAGATTTGATTACTGAGGTCCCTTATTCAGTGCCTATTCAGTGCTGTGTAATTAAGCTTAGCACCGGCCACTTCAGGATTGGCATACGAAGGATTATACTGGTGCATTTTATTTAGGAATTAGTATTCTACATATGGGCTCATTTGGTAATATGAGCCCCTAAGCAATTAAGAAAGGGACCCATCAAAATAATAAGAGGAGAGCAGACTACAATGGGTGATAACGTTGCAAGCATCATGGATAAAATAGTCATATTAACACCAATCATTGCATTAACAACTTGTACAATATCAGCTCAACATCTCTACCTTGTCCAGTTGTCCACTCAATTGACAACGATATCCAAAAAGGGCGGTTGAAACTTAAAGCTTTCTTGCACAACGAAGATTTTCTTATATATGTATAGGATATTCAAGCAAAACAAACTTTCCAAAGAACCATCCTAATTAATTAAATTTATGGAGAAACACTTTATTGTTAAGCCAACCTATGAAAGAACCCTCTATGATTACTGATTGTTGTCATTAGCATTCTCCACCTTCGATCGTCCCCTTCCCCTTCACCACAACCCCCTTTGTCCCCTTTTTCCTCCTCTCCCTTTCCCTCTCCTGCACCCCCTTCCCTTCCTATGCAACCCCTTTCCTGCACCTCCTCACCTTCTTTCTATGACTAAATTTATCATAGGAGAGAGAGGATAGGCTTTGAGGAAAGGGTGATTTGGTCACAACCTCTTCTCTCTCTCTTTCACAACAAATTATGGTCATTGGAAGGAGAAAGGATGCGAAGAAATGGCTGTGAAAGGAGAAAAGGGAGCGGGATGCAAGAAAGGTGGTGATGGAGAAGAGAATGGTGGTGGCAAGAGGGGAGTGGTGGTGGAGGAAGAGATGGGGGTAGTATTTTATTTTTATTTATTTATTTAATGTATAGAAATAAGGTGAGTTTATTTAGGAGTTTTTATTTATTTATTTTATGTATAGAAATAAGATGGGTTATATTTGAAAATTTTTATTTATTTGTTTATTGTACAGAAATAAGGTGAGTTATATTTGAGAGTTTTTATTTATTTTATGTATAGAAATAAGATGAATTGTATTTAGGAGTTTTGGATTGTTTTTGAGAATATTATAAGTTCTAAGCGGTTTAATAGGTATATCAGCTAAAAATTTGATTTAAAAAATTATTTTCCAGGTCAAGCACTTGCAATAGAGGCACGTTTATCTCAAACTCATTAATTTAAATGATTTTTTATTGATTTTTCACGTTAGTTCAAACCACGAAATACTAAATTGTATGACTTGAAATCATAAGAGGCTTTTTCTATAGGTTTGCTTAATCATAAGGGGCTTTCTGCATTTTACCATTTTATTTAACTTTATTTAACTTTAAGGATATGATAGGTATATCATCAGAATTTTTATTTGTTTCCAGTAAATACTCACAAAAGAGGTGCGTGTATCTCAAACGGATTAATTCAGATGATTTCTATCATTTTTTTAAAGTAGTTCAAACTACAAGGTATTGGAATGTATGTTTTGAAATTATAGGGACTTTTTTGTATTTTATCCAAAAAATTAAAATGATATGTTTCATCTCACAAATTTTAGAAAAAAACTATTTTTTTGTCCTTTACTTTTAAAATGAAGCTAATCAATCCCTCACAGTTTTAAAACAATGCAAATCAATGCCAAAATGACAACCTGATATAGATTTCAAGGGTAAAATTGAAACATCACTTTAGTGTTAACCAAATCTAAGTATATCTGACATATACATCATATTAAGTCAATAGAAAAAGGAAAAAAATTCAAAATTACAGCATAAGAAAAACCTTCTCTCTTAAAAATTAAAAATTTTGAGAAAGTGATATTAGGTTAACATAAAAAAAATTAAAATTATGACATAAAAAACAAACCATTCACTTTAAAAAGAAGAAAATTTTAAAAATTATAACATCAAAAACAAACCCTTCACTCTAAAAAGTTTTAAAATTTTTGAATTATAAAATTTTGATTGTTTCTTTTTGTGTTGACTAATGTCATTGCCTCAAAAAATTTTAACTTCTTTTAGGCAGAAATGTTTGTTTTTTATGTCATAATTTTTATTTTTTCATTTTATAGTGACTTAATGTCATGTACGCATTATATGTAGCTAGATTTGGAAGAACTAAGATGATGTTCCAATTTTATATCTAAAATCTATATTATATTATCAATCTGGAACTAATTTGTTTCATTTTTAAAATGTGAGGAACTAGCTTGTAGCATTTTAAAAATGAGAGATAAAAAATATTTTTTGCCAAAAGTAAAAAATGAAATAGGTCATTTTTTCAACAAAAAATGCCATACACATTAATTATCTTTGCATGTTAATTAGTTCCATCATCAATTATGTGGCAAATGTTATGTCAATAGGTGGGGTATTAATGAGGTCAGATTCCCACTCTGCTCCAAAAAAGAGAAAGCAGAGGTAAATGATGGAAAATTGACTTGATAAGAGAGGAATCTAGTACATTTTTGTTCTTTTTCCACCTATAAAGGTGCTTTTGTAAGTCTAGATCCAGAATTTCTTGAAAAGTTTTGTCTGATCAGATTAGTGGTATTGGTGATTTAGTTCCGCTCAGTTCCCCTCTTAACCCCTTTGATCATCCCCTAGGAGTAGGTCTAAATTATAATATATCGTGTCTGAAAAAAAAAACCTATAAAGGTGCCTTGGTTTCGGCTTGTGGAAAATTGATCGTTGCTTGTTCATACCAGGACCAAGGCTTTACTGTAGCATCCAAAACCGTGGACCTATAAAAATGTCTTGGTCATGGCCTGCGAAAATTGATCATTTTATGTTCATTCCAAGGGCCAAGACTTTGCTGTAGTATCCAAAACCGTGGACCTGTAAAAGCGTCTTGGTTATGGTTATAAGTAGCAAATAAATTTATTTAACTAAATTTATTCATATCTGTTCACGAATAGACGAACTAATAGTTTGAAAAAAAAAACGGAGTTATTATTGAACTAAACTAACCAAATTTCAATTAAATTTTGTTAAATGGAACCTACCAGGTTGCTATACTACTTATTGCAATTTAAAAGTGCAAATTCAATATAGAGAAATCCCAATTCATCAACTATATAATTATTGCGCATTCATGAATATAGATTTTGGGAATGAAAATTAAAAAATTTTAATAATATTATATAGGTATAAAGCAAAACTTGTTTGTTAATGATCCACCCCAAAGCCATCTTGAATCTATCATGATTCCACTTGAATGTTTCTTAAAAAAAAAAAAAAAAAACTTGTTTTCAAATCATTGTAACTTAGTTTTGAAAAAAAAAAAAACTTGTAACTGTGAATTAGTGCATGAGAAATTTAACTATTAAACACTAGTTATTTCATTCTTCATCCTTCGTATACTTTGTTTGATATCCACCGTCCCAATACTAGTAGCGGTAATATGTCACTACTACAATCCTAATAATCATTTCTTTCACGTCTCAGTCTCAGGGCGGGGTGCTTGCGCTAGCATTCCTTGTCTCGTCTGCTTTACCTTTTTTATCCCCCTTTTATCTAATGGGGAGAAGAAAAATTAGAAAAGCTGAAAAGAAATGTAAAAGAGAAGGCATGTCTCCAGAAAACGTCAAACCTACAATTGAAAGTGGACGATATTTGCGTCGCATTCTTTCGGTAATCTCATCTCAGATGCAAAAGTTTGCTGGGATAGTTCTTGGATTGTGCAGCAACTGGCTCTTTGTTTTTTTTGCTACTACAGGATATGATACCATGACAATAAAGTAGACAAGTGGATCTAGCTTCTTGATCACTCCAAGCATTTGAGAGGTTCTTGTTTTTTCTTTTTTTCTTTTTTTCAACAAATGATAACAGCTTTATAGATATTAACACTTGATAGTACAAGGATTAATTTGAGAGGTTCTTGTTGAAAGGAAAGAAATTCAAAGGGCCCTGTTTGTTGTTCAGCTTCTAATGTTCCTAATTTTCACCATGAAAATTGTTATTTGGTCTCTGCACAAAGTTGTTGGTAGATGTCTGCGATGTTACAATGAGTACCATTAATTAGGTCTTAAATATCTTGAAAGATTTTGCACTCCAAAAGGTAGTATAAATAAAGCTAAAGTACAATGACAGGATCGACGGGATGAAATAACCGAGGAGCAAAATTCAATAATGTGTCCAGATTATGAAATGGAAAAGATGCGCTTGATTACTGTAGCTTATTTAGGTCAGTAGAAAAGGTGAACATGATGGAAAGAAAGGATCTCAGGCAAATAATAAAATGAAGGCAAGGATAAAGATGAATTATTCCACCGTCCCAAAACACGACAGCAGCAGCACCTTTATCTTTTTTGGAGGGCTCCCAGACGTCCCTACCATGTAAATCGAACTGCTTTCTTATTGACTGGAAGAGAAAATGAACCACGTGAGAATCGAGCCTCTCTTCTGAGATCAGTTAAAAACAACAGAGATTAGAAGTTTTGCAGCTGCACCTAACAGGCAAAAGCTTCTCCTCCTTTACTAGTTGTTCAAAGCAAAGCTCACTTTACCACGATGGCTGACCCTGCTCTCTCTTTTGTTATTGAGAGAACTGGCGATCTGCTGATTCAAAAAATTGTTTTCCTGAAAGGCGTTCGACGACAAGTTGAGAGACTTCGAAATGATCTGGCCCGGATGCGGTGTTTCCTGAAAGATGCAGATCAAAGGCAAGATGAAGAGGAGAGGATTCGCCACTGGGTTTCTGAAATCCGAGATGCTGCCTACGATGCGGAGGATATCATTGAGATATTTGCCAGCAAAGTTGAGCTCTTCACAAAGGACGAGGGATTGGTCACCAAATTGACATATTATCCCTTGAAAATTGTGAACTTCTACAAGATAGGTAAAGAGATTGAGTCCTTACAGATGAGGATCAATGACATAGCCGACAGCCGTGAAAAATACGGTATCAAAAATCTTGGAGAGGGAACGAGTACACATGGAGAAGAGCTTCAACGGCTCCGACGGTCCTCTCCAGTTACTGAGGACAAGGATATAGTGGGCTTCGTGGAGATTACAAAATCGCTGGTGGCAGAACTTTTGAAAGAGGACGAAAACCGCCGTGTGGTTTCAATCGTTGGCATGGGAGGTGCTGGTAAGACAACTCTAGCCAAAAAAGTTTATAACCATGCTGATGTCAGGGCAAGATTCAACTGCCGTGCTTGGGTATGTGTCTCTTCAAGCTATGATCACAAAAAGATACTAAGATCAATCATAAAGCAATTAAATCCAAACGATGACAAGCTATCTGAAATGTTGGAAAAGATGGAAGTGGAAGAGGAAGTGTTGGAAGAAAGGCTCTATAAAGATCTCCAAGACAAATGTTGTCTTGTAGTACTTGATGATGTATGGAAGGAAGCAGCGTGGGATTGTCTATCCAGGAGGGCATTTCCTGATGTTGGCACATCAAGTAGATTGCTGCTTACAAGTCGCAATCGGGAAGTTGCCGTACACGCAGATGCTCTTAGCAACCCGTGTGAGTTGAAAACTTTGGGACAGGAAGACAGCTGGCAGTTGTTTCTCAAAAAGGCCTTAGGTCATGGGGCTAATGCTGGGTGTCCTCCGGATTTGGAAGGAGTAGGCAGAGAGATTGCAAGGAGATGTGCCGGTCTGCCACTAGCCATCACGGTTATAGGTGGTCTGCTACTGGGCAAGAAAAAGTTGAAGAGTGAATGGGAGAAAGTTCTCGACAACTTTAGAGCATACCTATCAAGCAGCCAGAGTGAAGCAGGGGCAATTCTGGAATTAAGTTATGCAGACCTTCCTCCCAATCTGAAACTTTGCTTTTTGTATTTGGGTTTGTTTCCTGAGGACTCCTTCATTTCTGTGCGCAAGTTGATCCATATGTGGGTTGCAGAGGGAATAATGCAGAAAAGAGAAGCAAAAATTTTGGAGGAAACTGCAGCATATGATGATGTGAAGCGACTTTGTAGCAGAAATATGGTCCAAGTGGCGGAAATGACTGTTGATGAGAGGATTAAAAGCTGTAGAGTCCATGATGCACTGCGAGAGCTTGCAATCAGAAAGGCAGAGGATGAAATTTTTTTTCAGATCCATGACACCAGAGATGATGAAATATCAGCCAAATCCAGGTACCTTGCTGCTCATATTCTCCCTCTGGATAAAAATTATTTTGGGTCTTCGGCCCCTCCTCTCCGGTCTCTGCTTTTTTTCAATATCCACGGTTACAGGGAAAACATTAGTCTTAGCTTCAAAAGTTTCAAAAAGCTTAGGATATTAGACCTTGAGAATGCTGAGATGGGTTATGATTTGCCAAAAGAAATTGGTAAAGTCAGGCTTCTAAGGTACCTCGGTTTAAGACGCACATCTATTGGAAGGCTCCCTCATTCCTTCGATTGCTTGCGAAACCTACAAACTCTTGACATACGGAACATTAACCGAGTGATAGTTTCAAATTTCATTTGGAAGCTTGAAAGTTTACGGCATTTATATGCGTATAAAATGGAATGTGATGTGCCTCTTAAAATTGAAGGATTGAGGAATCTCCAGACTCTGTCACGCATACACTTTGATGACATTATGCACAATAACATGATAACTTTGACAAGTCTTCAGAAACTGGGGATTTGGGTGGATGACAGATCAGACATAAACAAACTCTGCATGCATTTATCTGAGGTTGGAAGCCTAAAGGCGCTACGTCTTTATTTTGATGGAGGAAGCGAGTGGCCATCTCTAGGTGGACTTTCTAAGCTCCAGCATGTAACAGCGCTTAAGCTGTTCGGGCTGGGTTTGAGATCGCTACCTCCTGATTTCCCTTCAAATCTCTCTTGCTTGTCTTTGAGTTTCACACGTCTCCAGGATGACCCAATGCCAGCACTAGAGAAGTTGGGACAGCTGTCGTTCCTCAAAATGGAATTTTCATATTGGGGACCACAGCTAGTCATTTCTACGCATGGGTTTCACCAATTGAAATTCCTTGAGCTCAACTTCCAACATGGTTTGAAGGAAATAGAGGTGGAGAAAGGTGCACTGCCACAGCTCCAGTGCCTGAGAATCAGGAAGTGCCTCTCATTAGAGAAGTTGCCGGAAGGGCTGAAGTACATGTCTACTCTTGATAAGCTTGAGCTTGTAGACATGCCAGAAGATTTGATCAGTAGGCTTGATGTGAGAGAAGTTGCCGGAAGAGCTGAAGTACATATCTACTCTTGATAAGCTTGGGCTTGTAGACATGCCAGAAGATTTGATCAGTAGGCTTGATGCGGACATGATATCCAGTGTTCCTAACCTCAGAATATTTTGACTCTGGGATTTCGCAGAAGGAAGGAGGTTCATATTTGTAATTCTCGCGCAGAATGGAAGTTATGTAGTGTATTTCAAGATTTATCAAAATACTAGAGAATTGTTTCCCACACAATGCGTGGCAGTATTAGACCTGTTGAAAAGGCCATTGATTGTGTAGAGAATATTTTCTCCTGAATGATAATATTTTCTACTGAATTATAATTACAGTAGCGCGATGCAAGGCACATTAAAAGGCATAAATCAATATATCATGATGCATGCTCCACAGAGGGTCATAGAAACCTAAACAACAAAGGATAGCAATAAAGAACAATTACGCTCTGTCTTGTTTAAAAATTGTAAATCAACATAACTAAGGCTTTTGCTAATTTTTTACTACATCTTGACATCATCTCTTTTCTAAGATATCACGGTGCAGATTATCCAAATGTGAATGTTGAATATCTTGCAATTCTTCGAAACTGATATTAGTTGAACTTAGTGAAACGCTACCAAAATCAGGCAACACAGCTCCGGGAGAAGGGAAGAGGAGAAACAAAGTACACCTGATATTTGAAGTTAACCAGAAGTTGTAGCGTCAAAGCCCAAAGTGCCCTCAGAGATGTTCATGCGATACCCACTGAAGCAAACCATTATAGCAGCAGGGTAATTAAAGCAAAGTTCATGTCCATGCGCAAAACCAGAGAAACAAATATAACAAAGATAGCTGCAACAAAATGATTGAAGAGTGAGATATGTTAAAAGTCTCTATCACTCCAGTTAGGATCTGTCTAGTGAATAATCCCCTTTCAAAGAATTAAGTTATGGAACTTAGAAGTGCTTATCTATGACAGAAATTAATCAGTGCATGACCAGCATCAACTTCCTAAAACCAAAATTGAAACAAAAACCAAATTATATCAAACAAATGATGATTGACTGCAGATTCTACTTATTGATCCCCAAAACATGTGAAAAATTAAAACCAAGACGGTAGGAGCTGAGAAAGTATTCTTTGACTGGTCTTTGGTCCTAACCACGACAGTCACTAACACGACAATGCAGTTAACGGCAAAATTAATGTTTCATAACATATAATTGCTGCATAAAATTTCTGGGTTCCTCCTAGCTTAATGAAATTGATGTTTCTAGGTCTATCAATGTATTGTTTCCAATGGAATTCATCCAACAATAAATCAACATACCACAAGACTGGAACAAAAAAAATTGATTAATTAAAAGATATAGAGAAGATACACAAAATGATCAATCAGGCTTAGATCTGTAACAAGAGGAGGCAAAATGGAGGGAGGCACCACCATGGTTGCAAATTCTCAGTTACATATGCGAATGAGTTCCATCTCATCCCAGAAGCCATCTGGGTTGCCAGCCAAGATATGGGTTTGAATTTACCTCTATGCATTTCACCATCAATAACTCAATAAAAGATTTTCATCGTTCCTGCCAGGAAATATACACAAACCTCAATGCCTAAAAGCAAAAATGCGAGAATAATTATGATTATAGAGCAAATACGAGAGTAAGAAATTACATGAAACAATTTAAAAAGGCGAAATTGAACTAAATATACCTCTCTTAGGTCTCTCTCTCTCTCTTAGTCAAATGACACAAATGTCCAGTTTACATGCCATGGCAGATTGAGGTTTCTTAGCTGCTGATAAGTATGGCCACTATAAAAACAAATGCCAACCCAAAAGCTAATTTACCAACAAAATTCAAACTAATATAGAAAACATTAGCATCTAGATGAAACGAGGTGAATACGGCAATCTTAGGGCATGAGTTTCGGAGCTGACACAATCTACATACCATATTCATGAAGAGGAGCATCATAATCATAGCTAGTGGCAATAAATTGTCCACCACCTATCCTGCCCAAGTTTGTTCCTCCATGATATTGCTATAAAGACAAGAAACTAAGAAGACAATCACAATAGTAATTTAGTAGGAATTTGAGGAAAAATAATTTTTAAAGCACTAAACTTTACCATGTAGTAATAGTTAATTAAAAAGCCCCATTTTCAATAAATTCTGCAAGAGAAAATGCCAAGTCTTTAGCCGGATGGTAAGTTACTACACCTCTGAATTCAATAAACTTGGAAAAAATGGATAAAAATAGAGTCACTTCCTGTCATAAAACTCCAAGAACCACGTGTAACTCTCTATAAAAAAAAAAAAAAAGAAGCAATAACTGACCGTCTAGTTCAGGTTTCTAACCACATCTTGGGTTTATAAGCCTTATTTGGGGAGAAATAGTCACAGTAGAAGCCGTTGCATGTATTTGTCTGGGCAAAAGTAAAACAGACATACTATTAGGGTATTTATTATCCTCTACTTCTTGAACATACTATAAGGACATTTATAAAAGTATAAGCTACGTTGTACTGGTCTAATACAACTTGAAAAATCTTATTTTATGTATATTGTGCTATTTAAATAAATGATCCCCATTAATTCTGAATTTCACATTATCTACACCTTAAATGAAGCATAAGCTCAACTCAATGCTAAGCTTATAGGAAATGTCTACAAGGCATAAGCTATTCAACAAGATGCTTTTCAATGTACTAATCCTAGTTCACCACCTTGTACATCACATATTAAATAAAATACTATGACTTACCATCATTTTGATGATAAACTATTAATATTAGCCTATTATAAAACGTGACTTACTATCATTATCTAGTGATAAGTTACTAATGCCATTAATACACCAGGTACCAATGTTAAGTAATACATGTAAAGCATCTAACGATTTTCTTATTATTTCAAAAAGTTGTCCATAGCCCACTAGTACGATTGCTGGAAAAGTAGTAGTTCAGTCTTAAAATCTTGCCTCTTGCACACTACTTTGTCCGTTAGGGAACAATGAATCAAAGAAAAGCTCTGGAGATTCTTTTTTATTTTTAGAAAAAAATATTTATGCACTTTGTTCGCTCATTTGAAAATGGTTTGGCTTTATTTTACTGAGTATTCATCATGGTCCACTGAATGATTCAATGGGAACTTAGATCTACTTAATCATGCATAGCTACACACAAATTAACAGTGGCATTTTGTGAAGGTTCCAACAACATTCGCTAAATAATGGTAGTTCTTCACAGTAGTGTCAAAGATTTAGGAATCTTTCTTATCTCAAGGATGTAAGGAAGGATGATCAAGGTGTTTCGTTCTATTGTTGGGAATGTATTGACTAATTCTAATGCTATATGTTAAACTAATTAATCCATAGCTTGAAAATCAGTTTGTTGTGTTTGACAAATATGTTGAAATAATTGTCTCAAAGGCTGAGAAATATGTGTAATACATTGAAGCAAATATGTTGAATCGATCTCAATTTGCTTTTGACAAAAATGTAATTTTTGAGGACAAAATAGAGCCATGAATAGATGAACACCCCTGAGGTTGTGGTGAAAGTCTTTAATGCTTAAATTTCTATGAAAATTAGTCTAAAATCCAAAATGCATTTCTATTAGCCATCAATGGAGAGTTCGAAGACAGGCCCTTTGTTCCCCTCCAAAGAAAAACCAGCATAAAAATAGGAAGTTAGATATAAGGGACTCTTCCAGTTTAGCATAATTTAACGCAAAATTAATCATATGCAGTATAGCCCTATTAAAGTTTTTCTCTTCGTGGATGTAGGCTTGGTGATTAAGCCGAACCACGTTAATTCTTGTGTGTTGTTCATCGTCATGCTAGATATTGTTTTCTATTAAATTGTTGGTCTTTTCCTTTTCAAAATAATTGGCCTGATACCCTAACAAGTGGTATCAGAGCTCCGTTGGGGTTTTGGTTAATTATTTGAAATTGAGTGGGTGGTAGTATACCATGGGATTTGGAACTATACAGTTTCCAATTCAACCGTTTAATGGAACTACAAGTTTCACTCTTTGGCAAAGAAGAGTGAAGGATATTCTAGTTCAACAAGGTTTGGCAAAAGCGTTGAATGGAAAGAACAAGAAACCAGAGAGCATGAATGATGATGAGTTTGAAGAGTTGGACGCAAGGTGTGCGAGCACGATTCGGCTTTATGTGGCGGACAACATCATAAATAATGTGATAGATGAGGAAGATTCTGCAGCAGACCTCTGGAAAAAATTGGAAAAGCTTTATCTGGCTAAAAGCTTATCCAATAAGTTGCATCTAAAGCGGCAACTTTATGCACTAAAGATGGAGGAGGGTGGCAGTCTCATGGATCACATGAATACGTTCAACGGAATTTTGGATCAACTCCAAAAGGTTGGCGTGGATATTGAGGAAGAAGATAAGGCCCTTTTACTTCTTATCTCAGTCTCTGATTCTTACGAAAGTGTCGTGACAACTCTGTTGTATGGAAATGACACTTTAGAGTTCGAGAATGTGCAGTCTTCTTTGTTGGATCATGAAAAACAAAGAAAGGCAAACCAAGATGTGACACTAGAAGCTGCTTTAATTGCTCGAGGTGAGAATAAAAGAGGAAAATAATTTGGCGGTGAATCTAAGGCAGGTGGTTCAAAGGCCAAGAGAAAGGGTGGAATCTAGTGTTTTGGTTGTCATGAGTTTGGCCATATCAAAAGATATTGCCCTCATCGAAAGAAAAATGATGAAAATGACTATGATAATGTTGCTGGATATGCATCAGGTGGAGATATTCTCACAATCTCCAAAGGTAATAATACTTCTTCTCGTGATGGTTGGATTTTAGATTCTGGATATGTTTCACATATTTGCTCCAGGTTAGATTATTTTGATACTCTCTAAAGAAAGAAGGCAGGTTTTATGTCCTTGGGTGATGGATCTACTTGTCAAGTCAAAGGTATTGGAGTGGTGAAAATCAAAATGTTGAATGGCGAGATTCGTTCTTTGGGTGGTGTGGCTTATATTCCAAAGCTACGAAGGAATCTAATTTCTTTGAGCCAGTTAGACTCCGAGGGTTACCATTTTTTCCGCGGCAGGTGGAGTCTTAAAAATCACACATGACGAGACGGTCTTGTTAATGGGGAAGAAGTATGGTAATTTGTACCATTTGAATACCTCAATGGATTGGGAGCGGAAGGGGATCCAAGAATGCTCTCAAATTACAAATGGTGGTGAGAGGAAAAAACCTGCTATAGGAGAGGGTGAATTGAGGCCCCTCTCGCGAGTCAACTAGATGTTGGACTCGGTTAGCTACACACGTTCATTTGCCGATTGAATCAATTGAAAACAAGACCGTATTG